GGCCCCGCCCCTGGGCCGGCCCCTGGGCAGTGCGGACAGACAGGTGGACTCATCCAGACTCTGGGCGCTCCCCAGGTGCGCGCGGCTTGAGGACGACTGGCCTGCTTTCCTTTGTATATTTTGAGTAACTGTCGAGTCACCCGAAATTGTAAGAAATAACTCACTTTACCCCGTTTCCCTCGTGCTACTTGGCAAAACTTTGCAAAGGAAAAAAGTACGATATTACAACCATGATGTTGACTTCGATACCATCGCCGATCTTATCCAAATTCCCAGGTATTGCTGGCCCGCGTTTCCGTGTGCTAACTTCTACACCGCGCTGAGGCCTGCGAAGGAGGTTCGTGTACCCCAGCACAGTCCAGAAACAAAACCTCCGTCCTGCGACCCACCCGTGCTTCCCTGGCATTGCCAATCCTTCCTCTATCCCTAAAATCTTATTTCACAATTGTCATATTTACATTCAGGAGCTGTACAGCACGTCACCTTTTTGTAATTGGCTCTTTCACTCCGGCTCATTCCCTGCAGATTACCATCTGGCTGTGTCACAGCGCTCTTCCGTTAGGAAGAAGTAACTTTTGTTTTATTTTAATTACCCCAACAGCAAAGCCAAAGTCCATTTCAAGTATGACCTGGGTTCCCTCATCCTTTCCTATACAACACTGGCTTTTTATAGGTAGAGCAGATGGCTGGAAAAGAAAAGATGTAAAGATGTGTCTTCCACCTTGGGGGTAGAGCAGGGGGATTCCCAGCCCTAGAAAGACAACTGGATCAGAGGCGGAGTGTCATGTCACCCTCCACACCTAGGACACTCATTCAGGCCCTGTGCAGTGAGTGCAGGTTTACTCCTCACCAAAGGAGGTGAATAATGGGGCAAGATGGGGGACATGGGCAGCAAGCATCCTATTGACATTAACTGCACTGGAACCTTTTCCCCTGGGGACACCATCACCATACCCCCATGCCTGCAGAGGAGCTCCATCCCCCACTGCCTTCCCCCTGCCTCTCCAGGGCTTCACTTTGGAGTTCAGGGATTCGGGATCCTGACTTGATAGTGCTTGCTTGGGGACCTCCTAGGTGACCAGAGCTCTGTCCTTTTTCACATAATCTTTAAATGAGAATTGTTCTCCCTGAAGCTAGGGTGACAAGGGGTAATTTTAAGCCTGTTTGCAGCAAATGTAGCTGATGTTGAAACTAACACTTTAAGAATGATTGGAGCTTTGACGATATACATATAAGTTGAAAAGTAAACGTAGCTATTATTTTGGTGGAGAAAAAAAATTGACTAGAAAATGAGTCATGTGCCCTGTTTCCGGGGTTCAGCCCAAGGTACCTTTCTCCCTCAAACTTCCAGTCTCGCCTGCGCCAGCCCAGCAGCTGTAGGTGACTAACAGCCCACAGCCGTCAAGTAATAAAACACTCCAATTTCATTTATTTAATCATCTGTGTGCTTCACTTGACAAATATTTATGGAGTGCGTGCTGCAGGCTCAGCATGGGACTCGGGGCCCAGAACCTGAGCCTAGGAAGGAAGACCAAAACAGCGGCCGGCACAGCAGGCAGGCAAAGATCACAGCCGACCCAGCTCCAACCCCTGCTGCTCCACACACCTCGCTCTGCCTGGCCCTCTCTGAGAGGCAGTTCACTAATCCCTAAAAGGGATTGCGAAGGTAAATTCTGGATTCTCTAGGCACTTCCTACTTATATAAATGGGCAGTGGTCACTGGCAGATGCAGTTGATATTTCTAAGCACAAAAGTAAAGTGTCACTACGTTGAAAGTCAAAAGAAAAGTGGGCCAATTGGAGAAAAATAAGGAGTAATAGCAGTGCAAGTTTGGCATCTGGGACTTCAGATTCGTAGAATAACAGTAACTGCATGGTCACTTGCTCCGTGTGGTCAGGAAGAAGTCACTCAGCCCAGATGTGGTCCCGCGTGCAGGAGGTGAAGGTTTCAGGAGAGGAGAGGCTGCTCCCTGGCCAGAGGAGCGGACACTGCCAGGGAGCAGGGAGCAGGGCTGCCAACCGCCCCCTCCCGAGGCTTCTCCTATGCCTTTTCTTTTTCTTTAAGAATTCCAAAGTCAGCTTCCTCCTACAACAGACCCCCTGAGGGCACATCTGAGAAGGTGACCCACCCAGGTCTTCTGGATGCACCCTTCTCCTTGGGCCCATTTACCTCTACACCTGGATGCAGCCAGGCAGGCAAAGGACCGGCACCTGGGAAGGGCCGGGAGCATCCAGCTGCAGGGACCTCGTCGAAAGTGCAGGAGTAGAGGATTCTACAGTCGTCCTGCCTGAGATGGGGTCCTGCCTGCCAATGAGCATGCCCATCCCTGATTGCAGGATAGTGGCACCCGCTTCAGGAGGGCCGTGGCTCCAGTGAGATGGATAATGTGGGCAGTGGTACCAACTGCCGGACAAATAGTGATGTCATTTCCTACTGGTGTCCAACTGCTCCATGCGGTTCTAAACTGAGTTATTTTATTCTTTGTCCTCCTCACGTTCTCTGGACCAATCACAGGCGTTGTCGAGGACTCCGGGAGCACGCAGGTGCTGGCTACATTCTCCCAGCCACAGCAGGAAGCAGCACCCCGGGGTGCCTGCCTGGCCCTGCCCGCAGGAGGGTGGAGCCTGGAGTGGCGCCGAGCTGGCCTGGAGACCTCCGAGCCATCCAGCCGCGGCCTCCTGTCTGCCTCCCTCCCCTTAACTGCAATTCCTGCCACAACTTGCATGGCTGTTTTTGAGAATCCCCTGCATGTTCTGAGTGTTATTTCTAAAGAACATAACTTGTTCACTGCAGAGATTTTGCCTAATTCCAAGGAAGTGCGATTTGGGAGAGGCGTCAGAACGTGGTTCCTAGGCCCCATGCTGGGGCAGGGGGGGAGAAGGGGAGCCCCCTCCCCCACAGACTCCCAACTTCTAGCTCTTTCTCAAGCAAATGACTTCTGTTTACATAAACACTCCCCTTTCCGAGACACCTCCCCTTTGGCCCAGCAGCTCCTGGCTGTCTTTCCCACGGTCTTCTGGAGGCCCATTCACTCATTCCATGCCCGGGAGTGAGTCCCACGGAGGGGCGGGCGCCCAGCATGGGGGATGGTAGTGGACTGTGGAGGGCACCGAGCAGGGCTGAGAGGTTCCTGTAATGGTAGCAAGCCCACCTTCTGCGTCTCCTCTACTCCTTCCTTCCTCTGTGGTGCTCTTTAAAGCCTCAATCCAGCAAACACCCGCCCACCTCCCTCTTGTCCAGGCCCCACCCTAAGCTCTCCTCTGTTCAACAAAGACCTCTGGGGTCTCTGGCCAGTTCAGACTTCTCTGAGCATCACCCTCCAAATCCAACCCTGCGTTCACTCTAGGATGTCTCAGAGGCACCTGGGCACATTGACATAGTCTGATTTCACCCCAACCTGGTTCCAACCAGAGTCCCCATCTCTGGGAATGAGCCGCCTTTGGTCTGAAGGTCCAAACCCATAGCTGCCCCCTACCTCCCCCACACACTCCATCAGCCTGTGGAGGACCCACAAGATGCAGCCCACAGCTGTAGTACCTCCACCCAGACCTGAGTGGCCCCCAGCTCACACGCTAAGGCCTGTGCCCTCCATGAGAGGTCCCCCTTGCACCCTCCATCTGCACAGGGCCAGGAGGGAGTGGGCCACAGACACCTCTCCAAAGTCCCTGAGCCCATTTCCTGCCTCTGCCAATAGAGGATGACCACACTGCTGGAGTGAGCCCCCACCCTTGAGCCAAGGCCAAGGGGATGCTGTTTGCAGAGGTATGTCCTGAGCATATGTCCTACAGATGTCCGTGCAGGGCCGGCAGCCCCCTGGGTTGGACAGAGGTAGAGGCAGAGGCGGGAAGAAAAAGGCAGCAAGAGGAGTTTGAGACCCTGGGCTCTAAGGATGTGCCCACCAGCTGTCAAGGGAGGAGGAGGGAGGTACTTCACCTGCTGCTTCCTTAGCTAGATTTAGCACTCTGCCACCCTCGACCCACCCCCACCCCCGGCTGTGGCACAGAGACCCCAGTTTGTACGCTCCCCAGGCCCTTAATGTCAGCAGGTCTGGTCCTTCCTGATGCCTCTGGATGGTGGTGCCTGATTCTGGGCAAGCACAGTCTCTCCCATGTGGTCATGACAGACCATGCTGGCCTCTGCCTGGTCCATTCTTTGGACATAGAATTGTTCTCGAAGCAGACCTAACTACCTTCTGCATCTCCTCTGCACCCTCCTTCCTCTGGTTTTAGACTGGGAAGGGCTTCGGTCAGTGGTCTCTGCTGCTCTCCGTCCTCCAGCCACCCCTCCCCGATTGCTCCCTCCCACTCCCTCACTAGGCCCAGCAGGACATTTGCAGGTCCGGTCTGCTCCAGAGCTCTCTCCTCTCTTCTCGCTCAGAGTGATGCCTGGTGTCCTCCCACTCAGCCAGTCCCTGGTGTCTCTGAACCCCAGCCTTCATCACGCTCCTGTTATCACCTCACAGGCATGTGGCTTGCTGTGTCACTGCGTTTACTGGAGGATGGACTGATTAGTCCCTGGCTCCTCCGCTGAGGTTCTTGGCGGTGGGGGCAGCCTCTTCTCCCTACTAACAGAAGCACATGGACACTGTGCCCCTGCCTGGCCCCTGCTAGTCCCCTGGCCTCTCTGCCCCCAGGTCCAGCCACCTGGTCTTCTTTCTGTTCTTCAATAACCTAGCGCCTTCTTCCCAGACCTTCTGCACTGGGT